CCCTGGATCATTTTCAGAGAGAGAAGGATGAATGGGGTGAAGGAGTTGACCCCGAAAGAGAAGAATTGCTCAACCAGAAGAAATAGTGCTTCCCAGGCTTACAGCACATTTAGATGCTCTAGCTGTGAGAGCTGACATATTTCCTAGACCTCCAGGACCATTCTTCTTAAGTGAAAATAACTTTTTAAAAAGTGGGAATGAAGAAATTTTGTTCATTTGTTTGTTTACAAACTATAAAGTTCTCATGACCCTTCCAGACTTGGAAATTTTTGTTTTACATTATTCTTTTAATATCCCTTCCACACACATGCATTGCCTTCCCTCTTTTCCTCTCCATTCACCCTGAACTTTATAACATCTCTTGAGGAAATTCAGCTTAGCTCCTTTTCTTTCTTTGAATAAACCTTAGTGTGAAAACTGTAATATCCTGAAAAAGATATTTTTAAATAGGTACTCATATTTTTGTTATCCATATTTGTTGATCAATGACTGCACACCAGGGCCTGGAGACACTGTGGAGAATAGGTCAAATGTAGTCTTTGTGCTCATAGGACTTCCTACTGGTTTTCTGGAACATCTAGAACAGGTATCATCAAACTACAGCTCTTGGGCAAATCTGTTTTAAATCCTTGTTAACAGCTGAGCTTTTTCTTCTTTTTCATTTTGGCAGTTTTCTTGTATGTGTAGTAGTATTGTGTTGAGGTTTTATTTGTACTTTTTTTCATGACTCGTTGTATCAGTTACCTACCTACCACCACAATAATGCTGCATAACAAGGAACCACAAAGTGTCCGTGACACTCCCTAGGAAGCATGTGCTGATCCCAAGTTTGCAATTAGCTGGGGGCTGGTTTGGCAGCTCCACAGTTCTTGGCTGAGGTTGTTCATGTGCACAGGGGTGTCAGCTGGCTGTAAGACGATCTAGGCTGGCTGCAGCTGGGGTGTGTGGGGTTACTCATCTCTACTCAGTCTCTGGCAAGCTAGCCTCAGCTTTCTCATGGAAATGGCACAGGTGCAAAAGCAAACAAGCCCAGTGGTGCAAGTGCTTTTTCAACCTTTGTTTGCATGACATTTGCTAATATCCCAATCCTCAAAATGAGTCACACAGCCTCGCTCAAATTCAAAATCAGTGAGTACCACAAGCTATATAGCAAAGGGCGTGAAGACAGTCAAGGATGGGAGAAGCGAGCCATTTTTGTGATCTATTGTACTTATGAAGTTAAGTGATTTTAAGATATTTATTGACCATTTAGTTATCCTCTTTTGTGCCATTGCTGCTCAAGCCTTTCCACGTTTTCCTTTAAGTTGTCAGTACTCTTATTATTGATTTATAAATCTATCTAGTTCTAGATATGGGTCTTTTCAAGATATATGCACTGTGAATAGCTTTGTATCTCTGTGAACTGCCTATTTATCCCTTAATGATACCTTTTGAAAAACAGAACTTAATTTTAATATAGTCAATTTATCAATTTTTTCTTTCTGTTTAATACTTTCTGTATCTATTAAAAAGTTTTGCTTACTCCAAAGTCATAGAGATGTTTACTTATCTCTTTTTTTAATCTTTATTATTTTACCTCTTACACATAGATCATAATTCATCTGGAACTTACATTTGTGAATAGAGTTAGATAGAAGTCAAAATGCATTGTTTATTTATGATTATTTAGTGGGTTGCCCAAAATATTTGTTTGATTTTTTTTTTCCCTTAAGATGGCTCTAGTAATCCTTAGTGGTTTTGACTTCATTCTAAACAATTTTGTTAGATTACAGTGTGAAAGCTGTCACATCAGTGTGCATTTTTAACAAACTTATCAAAATTGGTGAATATTTATATAGCCATTTTAATATTGAAGATGGAAGAAAATGTGCAACATTTTTGGCATGTTATGCTTTATTATTTCAAGAAACACAAAAGAACACCTGAAAAGCAGAAAAAGATTTGGAAAGTTGGAGAAGGTTCTATGACTAATCAAATGTGTCAAAAGTGGTTTGTGAAGTTTCATGTTGGAGACTTCTCACTGGATGATGCTCCATGGTTGGGTAGGCCAATTGAAGTTGATAGTGATCAAACTGAGATATTAACTGAGAACAATCAACATTATAGCACACGGGAGAGAGCCAACATACTCAAAATATCCAAATCAATAAATTTATTAGTGAAAATGAAAAATGTGTCTTTTATTTTTTGGAAAGAACCATACAGACTTTTTGTTTAGCCCAATAATTAGTCACCTTTTCTTACTGCATTACAGTTTCATCTTTGTCATACACCAGGTGGCCATGTATATGCCAGTCTTATTTTGTACTTTCTTTGATAAAATCTTGAAAATATAGCCTAGTTTTGGCTGCTCCTTGGGAATTACCAAGTCTTGTTTCTGTGTCTATAGAGATGTGGTAAAGATTAGGTTGCATGAGCCTGCAGATTTCACCTGAAGTGAATATTTTAATGGAGAAACTGGATTTGAAACAGTCAAAAGTTTATTTCATACTACTTCTTGACTGACTAGGGATTTGAATAAACATGTCATGAGGAAACCTATTTTTTCTGGTTCAGTGTATCTGGCAAACAATTTTGAACTACTTGTAACTCAATTTTTTTTTCTTTCAGTTTAATCTACAAAGCTTCCACTCTGACATTTATTCCTAGGGTGACATCTTATGTCTGCTATGGTTTTGAGAGTTGCTATACTGGGAACTAGGTAGGTACCAGTGTATGAAAGATTTGCTTCCTTTCCTTCTGCCCAAGGAGAATTATGTAATAGAATAATTATTGAATAATTATAATTGTATAAGAACAGATTTCTTATTTGTAGACTAGTAAGAAATATGGACTCTAATTTTCCATGTAGAAAATCAAAGATAGAGACTGACACTCTAAATTTTTTAGACCATTTGAGACTGCAGTCTAATGGGTCATAAAAAGAAATTTTCATCATGATATGCCTGAGATAATGATCTCTTTTCAGGCCAGAAACCAAAAGTTTTTGTTACTGTATGTTATCTGCCAGGAGTGACTATTTACCAGAGGTAGCCCAGTATAAATCTAGGGTAAATATCAATTTTTAAAATTTGTTAGCTAATCAGATACTTGAGGCTATTTTATTAGAGAAAGAAATGGCTGGAAATGCGGGTGCCTGATTTGCAGCTGTAAATGAACCAATGTTTCAGTAAGAAGAGCTGGGGTAGCCTGGCAGGTCCCAGCCTAACTCATCTAGGAGAAATTTTCCTCATTATCATTTCTCAGATATTCTCTCTCTCTCTCTCTCTCTCTCTCGCCCCTCCCCTCTCCCCCTCTCCCCTGATAAGGATGACATGTTTTAAAATATTTTAACAAACCTAGAAAAATAATTTTCAATTCTATTGCAGGTGAGGAACTATGAAAAAGGAGGTGGTAGTCAAGGCTGAATACAACTTAGAAAATGGCATATTTTTTTGTGTAATTTCTTCTTTATCCTTCAGTTCAAGAAAAGAGAGGGAAAAGGTATTTATCTGGTGGCTTAGTGTTTGTCTTCTTTACTCATAAAAGAAGAGACATTCCTTTGTTGTTGTATTTATTCAGTAACTATGCTCCACTGGTGGACAGTGGCCATTGCTGATGGGTAAGTGGATGAATTCTGCCTTGGATCATTTCTAAAAAATTTTATATGTATATGTTCCATCTGTCTAATTTGGTTACCAGCTTTTAGAACATAGAGGATTTATCACTTTTAAATTCTCTTCTATGTTTAGCATGCTACTGAGCAGAAAGCAGATACTCCAAAACTATGTAGGAATATAGAATTCCAATAATCAGAAGTTAAGAAATCCTAGTGTTCTTTTCTGTTTTTCGAACTATACTGATATCTAATACCTAGAGAAGAGACATACCCATATGAGGACTTAGATAAGAAGTACAAGAAGCAGCAGTACTGGCAGGACAGAGTGGCTGGATGGTCATGAGAGGAGACTTAACACAATTAGTAAAACAATAAAATAGGAGACGGGAAATAAGATAGTTTAGAGTCCAAAGAAGAAAAACGTTTCAGAAAGAAAAGACCAGTCAATGATGTCAATGTCACTGAAAGGTCACATTGAGGGAGGCTTGAAACTGATCCTAAAATTGGGGAAATAGAAGGTCATTTATAACTTCAGGGAAAGCCATTTCAATAGAATGGCCAGCTGAAGTGAGGTCAGCAGTGGTGAGCTACGGGGTGAGTAAGAGAGGGCATGGGGAAACAGGAGGAAAAACACTCCGCAAGTTTTAAGTGTTTTGAAGAACAATTGGTATTTCAGGAGTTCAGAGAAAAGAGCAAAGAAAAGTCATAGAGAAGGTGGGATGAAAGGAAAGGAAATTCATGACTCACTGGGAAAAGAGCATAAATAATTGATGTTAAAACAGTACATCCAGGGTGAAATCAAGAAAGCAAAGCAGGGGAAAGATATCTGAAAATCACTGTGATAGAAGCTATATGACATGACGGTTGGTTGCGTGTAGGAAAGCTGGGAGGTGGGTGATTTGGAACTTCCAAGCTTGAGTTATTAGCAGTGCAGGGGTGCCATGAACAGAACAAGTAGATTTTGCAGGAGGCCAATGATGAGTTTAATATAAAAGTTATTGAACACAAAGTTCAAATGGAACCCTCTGGTGTGAACGTCGAGATGGCAGTTGAATTGTAGGCTAGAGGGCTGAATTTATACCAGCTGGTCACTAAATCCCAGTGCTTGATTTCCCAGAGTTTGACACATGCAACCTAAATCTGTATTGTAACACTATTATTATTGCTACTGTTTATCAACTAATTCCAAAGCATCTGTTCTATATCACTAACAGCCTTCGTTGATAGTTCATGTAATAGTGATCTACTCCACAAAAAGGACCTTTTCTTATTGTGGCATGAAAAGCATGTGACATAGTGCCTAGTTGCAAATAACTCAGCTAAATGTTATGTCCCCTGGCTGCGCAACCCTTGTTAGCTATTTTTTTCTTTTTTCTTTTCTTTTCTTTTTTTTTTTTAACCAGGGGAGAGTGCAAATGTAGTCCCCCACTATCACAAACTATGCAGTTGAGTTTCCCGCATTTGGGGAAATCACAGGAGTCAGCACACCTAGAGTGCAATGGATGAGCCTCGCCCTGGGAAAACCTTCTTAATCTTGGTATCTCCCCTGCAGGTAAGTATTTATTAGCTACTTTCTCAGGTGAAATCCTACTTACTCTTTGTATCAGTTTTCAGTCGCTGCTATAACCAATGACCGTACACAGAGCTGCTTAACACAATACAAATTTATTTTCTCAAGAGTTCTGGAGATCAGAAGTCCGAGATGGGTCTCACTGGGCTAAAATCAAGGTTAAAAATCAATCAGCTAAAATAAGGACTGCATTCCTTTCTGGTGGGGAAAATATGTTTGCTTGTCTTTTTTAGCTTCTAGAGGTTTCCTACATTCCTTGCTTTTTTGTTCCCTCTCATCTTTAAATTCATCAATATGAGTCTTTCTTATGTAGCATCACAATGAATCTTTCCTGCTTCCACTTTTGAAGATCCCTGTGATTACATTAGTCCCACTCATAATCCGGGATAATTTCCCATCTCCAGGTCAGCTGATTAGCAATCTTAATTTCATCTACTTCCTTAACTCTCATTTTCTATGTACTGTCTATTACCTATATACAGGTTCTGGGAATTATCTTTGGAAGCTATTGTTCTACCTCCCACACCCTTAAAGGTCATAGATAGGTGTCATCTCTCCTATGATGCCCAGTTGACTCCCCATATAGATTGTATCAAGTCCTTCTCAGAATATCTTCCACACTTCATGGCTACTTCTTATAGCTTGTAGCATATTGTACTGTGATTATTTGTATAACAGTCTGACTCCTTCACTCCAGGGGAACCAGACCTGCGTGTGTGGCAAAGAGCACTGAATGAAAAACTGTTGAACTGACAAATATGGAGGAAGTAGACAGAGTATCGGTAGCAGTCTATTAGTAGAGTAAAAGGTTGAAGATAGGCAAGTGAATTGCAGCGCCGTATGGTGAAAAGATAAAAGTATGTGAATGAGACAAGGTTGAAAAGTCAGTCTCAATGAAACAGGCACAATTAACTAACAACAGGCAATGGCCAGAATGTGTACAATTTTATCTCACGCTCTGTTGCAATATAGGAACAGCTTATTTGTGAAATCTTATCTCATTGGGAAGAAAATCTAAAGTGAAAGGAAGGCTGTAATTATAACATCATAAAGCGATGTCATAATGACACAAAATCTGGAAACCAGTCAGTGTTTCTCTCTATATAGGAAACTAACAAAAACAAATAAGTAATGAAAATAAAAAAGAACCATCCTTCTTTGTCCACCACTCTTCAAGGAGACTGGTGCTTTGATTTAGATGATAAGGATAGTTCTATTTTCTTCTTAGTCTGAGCTGTCCCTTGGGTGGAGAAGGTCAAAGTTGGGTTGTAAGAGTGTGACGCATATTTCCTTCAGGCAACAATCAATTTCCTTTTTCCAATTCTGTGCTCCCCACACACCCGCTGATAAATAGTTTAGTCTCCCAAGGGGAACCACTCACCAGGAAGGGAGTGACTGGTTCACATCTGACCAGTCCTGTTCCCAGGTCTGGTGGTAGTTGACCTGCTGAAAATTAACAAACTGGGCCCTAGTTTATAACTGTCTCTGTTATTAGAATGAATCAATTTTCCAGGGCCTAGTGGAAGTCTAATAAATATAATGTATTTAAAAACATGTCAAGGACCAGCCCTTGATCACCGCCAGCCCAGGAGGTTACAAGCCTCTCCGAGGCCTGTCTGCACACGTGTCTCTCTGTCTGCGGGTGCTACTGGGATGGTTACTTTTGACTCAGACAGTTCCACAGCCTAGGTGATGGTATGCTTCCATGTGGCAGGCAGTGGGTAGTCTCTGGAATTTCCTAAATAGTCAGGGAAGTGAGATGGTGAAAATGGAGCTTTAGAGAAGTTAACCTGGCATTGCTTTGCACAAAGGATTAGAAGGTTAGCAGTCTGTAAAAATGCTACCTTGAGTTAGCTAGTTTCTGGACTAGGAAACAAAGAGATGGAGACATTGTTAAGACAGCATGAAGGAAGAAGGTGGCCACTCCCGAGGATATGAAGAGGAAGAACAGCCTAAAATGAGACTGATTTTGATTATGGACACCAAAGTGAGGCTAATCTGACAGAATATGTACTTATGAGATATTTAATAAGAGTTTTGGTGGCCCCTGAATTAAAGGTGCAAAATAATTGTAATATCATTTGTTTTTTCAAAAATAAAATAAGTCAGGAAATTTTATAAAATAAATTTAATAGCATCAATTCGTATAAAAGATTAACGCCTAGACAAACCTTTGAACTGTGAGAACAGTATCAGTTTCAAAACCTTAGCTCTTGTTGCCTTTTTTATGAATTAGTAATTGATAAAACTTCAGGGCAAGTACAGAGCTAAATATTCTCTGAAACATAATGTTGCTCAAATTAGTAGAAAATGATAATAGCATTTTGAAAAATTCAAACGGCTACCAGAAAAGACCAATTTGAAGTGATAGATATGTACAAAGCCTCTTCGTAAATTATTTTGACTGCCTAGAAACATGCAAGAAATATTTTGCAAATCCGCTTGGAATCCTAACCAAGAGCTAGGAAACATGACTTGTAGGTGAAATCTGAGCAGGTTTTTAGAGGCCTTGATTGTTCCATACCATGTACCATCTTCAAGAGACTTGCATTTCATTTACAATCAAGGTCATATTAAATTTTGTGTAAATACTCTTTGGCTGGACTCCATCTCCAATACTCTTTTCTAAAGTCATATGAACACAAAAGTAAAGCTAAGATAAATAAATAAAATTCATAAAGAACAAGAGGCTCGTTGTCTGGCCTGGCACATTTACCTGAAGCTGTTCTCTCTCTCTTACATACACACACACACGCTTTTTAAAAAAAAATCCTTAATTGAAAAATTGAGCCTCCAGGAGCCAAAACATACACTGCAAAGCTAAAGACGTTTGGGCACTGGCATCTCCCAGAGCCTGGCACTTGTGACTGCTGTAGCTCGTTTTCACACAGTGAGGCTGCTTTTGATTTATTGCTGTCATAAAACAGAAATAGGTGTAGCGTTATGATGATTTGCGATTTGTTCCTAACTCAAAGGACCCTGGTGGCCTCTTAAACTTATTATAACAACTCATACTGGGAAAATGGAACTAACTCGACAGGATTCATTCCTTCAGGTCACACGGAAATTGCGGGAGTTTTCCCTCCTCTGTGTGGGGTTTAAGGGAAGGGGGAGTCGGGGGAGACGGGAAGAGGGGATACATATGCCCCCTGATGTGCTTGCTCTAGAACAATCACCTTCGGTCGGAGGGTGTTGAGTATTAGGTATTCAGGACTCTCCCTGTGAAATTAAAAACATTCCTAAAAAATCATTTCAATTTCCATTTTACTTGCTCCTCTTTACATTTTTCACTCTGTTGTGGGGGTTCCAGTGGGGCAGGTTCCTGCCAACACTTGACAACAATATCCACACTGGCTCATGGCAGCTTGATGAGGCATCAGGGAGAGAGTGACTCAAAGGGGCCACCTAAGACCTCAGCCTGGGAGAGTAATGGGGGGGCTCCCCTCCATGTGTGTTAATACTTAGGAAGACAGAATTGAATGTCGACAGCGTACCTCTCCAGAGAGCACTCACATCTACGCATGGAAGTTGAGGGTAACACCATGCCAGCCTGGAGTTCAGGAAGGAAAGTATGTTATCTGTTTTAAATCACTTGTGAAACGTGAGTTTTTGTTGAAGAAAAAATATAGAAGGGCCTTTGGCATCCACAGCATTGCCTTGACACTGAGTAGCACAATGAACACTGATATGGGGCATCCCCTGCCAGAATGGCTAACATGTTTATCAACAATCAAGAACAAAGAATTGGAGATAGCAGATTAAGTGGGAGTCCACATTCTGCTATTCTAATCTTTAGTCGCCCTTAATACTTCTCTAAATTTCTGTTTTCTCATTAACAAAAGGGAGTATATACTCTGTCTACCTAACGGGTTTTTCTTAAGGAAGAGCGATGCTAGTCCCTGTTAGGGGAATGAGTGGTGTGTGTATATGTGTATGTTGGAAATGGAGAGGAGCTCTTGCACTGTGCAAAGCAGCATGGATTTAGTGGAGTTAGAAAGGGGTCCATGCCCACTGCACAGCTAAATCAATACCTATGCTTGATTTTAGCCCCAACTAGATTATTAACTATTATTTGAACAGGCAGAAGCACTAAATCTATTGGCAGCATCACTGTGAACAAGCAATTGCTTAGGGTCTCACTCTACAGATTCCTCTGAGAAAGAGAAGTTAAGTTGTAAGAAAGGGTTATCTGCAGCACTTCACCTTTTCTTCCCAGAGTCCTTCCTTCCATTAGTGTGCCAAAGAAAAGATGGCAAACCACGACAATGGTCCTGGGTGGCCTGATCTCCCTCTGTGGGATTCTCTGTGATGGGCTGCAGAAAGACCTCTATCCATCCTTGGTCACTTCTCTCACCTCCCCAGGGTGAAGGGGCTTACTTCAGCTTAGTTTAACAGAAATTGCACTGTCATGAGCCAGGATAACACAGGTTTAGTCATGACTCTGCCAATGACTTTGAGCAAATTACTTTCCCTTTCTGAGCCTGTTTTCTCAACTCTAAGATATAATTGGTGAGGACAGGGATTGCTGGGTCAGAAGGTAAACTAAGTGTTTAAGTTTCTTCTCAGTTCAGACATTTCTGATGATGACGTTCTAATGCAAGGATGGTCAAATGAAACAACCAGAACGTGCTTAGTCTAGCACATGGAAGATGGAGAATAATAAAAGTACCTGCCACTCATTTAGCTCTTTCTATGTGCAAGAGCCTTTTCTAAGCAACTTACACAATTTTCTCATTTCCTCTGCATAAGAACCCTATGCAATAAGTGGCATTGCTGTACATAATCTATGGATGTGGAAATCAAGGTATGGAGAAAGTCTGATTTTCCCAAATAACACCTCTAGGAAATAGTAGATGCAACATTTGAGCCTAGGTTGTTTGGCTCCAAAGTTCATGTGCTTTAGCTTTAAACTAGTGGCTTTTTGTAACATTATTTTTAGAAGAATTTGAAAGTCTCAGTAGCAAACAATTTCATAATTAATTATTGATGT